CTTTCCCTCTTTGACAATGGGTCTGCCATTTCTAGAATTAGCTACTTCAGAACCTGGCCCCATTCTGATCCAGATTCAATCTTTCTCCACTTAGTTGTGCAACTCCTAAACTTTTAGATCAGACCTGAGCAGAGGAGCCTTACTCACAATATTGTGCCTTGAAAGTGACCTTTTAGATGGCTATCATATACATAGATTGTCTGAGTAAACTGAAGGAAGAAACTTTTACTCCTCATTGGAGTGTTGCAGATCACTCTTCTGTTCTAATCTGTGTTGAAAACACAGTTTGGTCAGAAGAAACTCTTTAGCAAAAGCCATGATGTATTTCCTAAGGAATGAATCATGGCATCTGAACTGAAATTCTGAAAATCCCTCCCCAAATGCAGTGTCATTGCAGGGCAGGTGAAAGGAACAAATCCAATGTCCATTCTATTCCCATTTCAGACCAGCAGGTCACAGAGGAGAGTTTTTACTCCCTCCAATGCAAGCATGCTAGCATCTCTTGCAGTTTACGAGTCTAGAAAATATGCTACAAACTTTGGATCTGTATTTTCCTATTTCTTTTGGACCATTGCATAGATGATTATTTGTGTTGATATTCAGAAGGTTTGCAGCTGCCTGTAGGGATGATGAGTTTTGGCACACCCTGCTTCCTCTGGCCACTATGATTCCATACCCCCAAAAAGTCTTCAAACAGTCTGGCATGATTCTTTTTTTTTTTTTTCCCCCTAAGAGGGGTAGTCCTCTGCACTTTTTCTCTGCTCATCCCTACTAAATTTAAAAAGTGGATGGTGCAAGCCCCACCTCTGGCCTTTCAGCAGTCACCCCAGAGGGACAGGGGAGATATAGGGCAAGGAGGGAGGGAAGGATCCTGATGAACCATGAGGCAGGAAGATGCCTCTGAAAAGCAGACCTCATGACTTCACTAATTAAGGAATGGCTTGACCTTTGCAGTTGATGTCACCCTGGATGCTGACACAGCTCATCCAAGGCTGAAGGTGTCTCAAGATGGCAAGAGTGTGAAAGATACTGGGAAAATCACAACTATGCCCAGGACAGAGAAGAGATTTGACTCCCACCTCTTTGTTTTGGCAAAGGAAGGATACACATCTGGGAAACGCTATTGGGAAGTGGATGTTGGAGAGAAAAAGAACTGGGAAGTGGGCATTGCCCGGGAGCCTGTGACTTGTAAAGGCACACTGACTCTATCCCCAGAGAAGGGCTTCTGGGTCATAGGGTTAGTGGATGGGCGAGACTATTGGGCCCGCACTGTTCCATGGACCCGCTTGGCTGTGAGTGGGAAACTCGCAAGGATTGGGATCTTCCTGGACCCTACAGCCAAGAAGTTGTCATTCTTTAATGTCCAGAAGGAAACAGCTATGTACACTTTCTCCCTTGGTAGAGACAAGAGCCAGGAAGGGAAGTTCTTTCCCTTCTTCTCAACAGGCTCCATTTCTGCAAAGCCTGACACTGAGCCCCTGAAAATAGTCCAGCGGTTTGATGAATGATGAACAGTGCACTCTTATCATGGAGATCTCCGTATGTGTTTAATCATTAAGTGGTAAATTGCTGATGAAAAATATTGTTTCCTTTTTTATTTTTTTTCCTCCTAGAAATATTTTTCTTAATCTTAAGAATCTTATTCATTAATCTTATGAAGAAGATTTGTACCACTAGACTAACGTCAACCGTTTAATTCTCTCTGGCTCTAATGTAACTGAAATAAAGCCTCCT